TGTGATCCTGTCTCAGAATCGTCATCCTAATGATGCGGGTCTGATTTGGGGAGTCTGACCCTGAGGGGTCAGCAACGGCCTATGAGGACAAACGGTCTTTCAGCCAAGTCTCAAAAAAGAAGCCAAGGTGTGAGATTATAGAGCGAGGTGAAGAGAGCCTTAAGAACAGTGGTTGGGGAACAGACAGACACTTGGGAGAGAGAGGGGATAGGAGTGGGAAGAGATGAGAGAGGTGACAAGGACAAGATCACAGAACACTTGACAGGCAGAGCCTAGATGCCAAATTTAGTGCTCAGAATAATGGACAATTTTTATAGAGTTTTGTTAATCTGCCCCCATTTATTTATTTTTAGTTTTACTATGTAGGTAGGGTTTGTCTGGAACTCACTAAGTACCCCAGGCTGGTCTTAAACACACTCATTTGCTTCCTTTTTTAAAATAAGAGATCCTACTGGGCGTGGTGGTGCACGCCTTTTAGCCTAGCACTCGGGAGGCAGGGGCACTGTGAGTTCGAGGCCAGCCTGGTCTACAAAGTGAGTCCAGGACAACAAAGGCTACATAGAGAAGCCTGGTCTCAAAAAAACCAATAAATAAATAAATAAAAGGTCCTTCTGAGGCTGGGTGGTGGTGCACATCTTTATTCCCAGCACTCAGGAGGCAGGGGCAGGTGGATCTCTGTGAGTTCAAGGCCAGCCTGGTCTACACAGAGAAAGCCTGCCTCAAACACACACAAACACACACACACACATACACAAAGGTCCGTCTGTCTGCTACTGCACACAGACACAGACACACACTTGTCTACTGTGGGGAAGCACGGACAGGGACTTACAGTACCCCGGCATAGTAGGTATTATGAATAACCCTCCAGACATGACATGGGGACCGGCCTGGGGAAGCCGGGTGACTCTTACCAGTCTGTGAAGAGGCGTGTGGACTCTGAGACGACCTGGGAAGGGCGGGGACAGACGGAGAGGTTCTAGGCACCCATAACTGAAAGTGGGCTCTGCCAGGCGATGCACTCCCACAGCTCAGTCCAGTAGGCGGGATAAGGGGCTTCTCCCCACACCGCCTCTCTGTGGGCATCTTTGGAAAGAGACAAAGTGACCCCTCGATTTAACATCAAGAGCTCACAGCCTTCTTATACTTAGGCCTTACAACAATGGCCTCAGTTGCGCTGGCTGCACCAAACAACAGGGCTATTGCTGTCCCCATTTCGTGGGTTCTGAAACTGAGGTCTAGAGCTCTTGCCCCAGGGACGGTTAGGAAAAGGACTCTGGATTTAGATGAGGGAGTATGAAAGGGGACAGCCCACCCACTTGGGCCACTCTGCCTTCTGTCTCTGCCTGAGGGCTGAGCTGTGGCTGAATCAGACCCAGTTCTCTTGGAAAGGCTCTGTGGGTGGTACAGCTGTGGTTCACACTTGACTTTCCTGGATCAGTCTTGCTCACCTGTGTTGTTACAGTTGGTACACGCCGATCTTTCCATAACGTTCACTAATGAATCACCCAATGCCCTTCCCCCTGAGCTTGGCAGGAGATGGTGTAGCATGCCTGGGTATTCCTCCCTGGGGGCTCAGGTTCCTCATTTTCCCCCAACACGGCATCAACAGTCAAAGCTTCTCGTGTCAACTGAATGCTTAGCACAGGGCCCAGCAGCCACCAAGGCTGCTGTGACCTTGACTGTGTTGTGCCCTCCAGATAGCTGTCACCGTGGACCCTGAAGTACCGGGAGTTCAAGGTCTTCCCCTCATGTGGCTGTCCACATTCACCACTCCCTTGGGTGGTCCCTGCTCCCAGGTAGCCTACCGGTGGCTCTTTGCCACTGGTACCCTCCGCTCCTTCACGCTGAGGTCTGAGGTACACCACTGGGTAGCCTGGCCTCAAAGCGATAGTGGCTCTGCTGCCTCCTGCTTTGTGCTTGCTGAGCGCTCTCCTCACAGGGCGGGCAGGCCCCGCCCTCCTGACCTGGCTCTCTCTTCCTCTTGCCAATGCAAACATGCTCTAATTTGAGCTCTCCCCACTGCCTGAACACAGCGCCTCTCCACCTTCCTAATGCTGCACCCCTCTAATGCAGCTGTGGTGCCCCTCAACCGAAAAGTTATTTTCATTGCTACTTCATAACTGCCATTTTGCTGCAGTTATGAACTGTGACGTAAATATCTGTATGCAGCATATCTGACACGTGACTCCCAGGAAAGGTCAGTTGACCCTCTAGGGGGTTGAGACCCACAGATCGAGAGCCACTGTCTAAACAGGAAGTAGATCATGGGGTCCACTCCGTGCCAGCATACCTGAGGTTTTATTTTTGTTTTATGTAGCCTAGGCTAGCTTCAGACTTCGTATGTAGCTACAGAAGAGCGCCTGACCCTCTTGCTTCCCCTCCTGAATGCTGGGTTTCAGGCCTTGACCTGCTTAAGGCTGGTTCTTTTGATGCTGTGTACCTTGCCTCTTGCTCCTGCGTGACTCTCAGTGCAAGATGTATGGATGAGTCAGGACATGAAGGTCAGAGCCCGCAGGGAGACACAGAGCGCGCTTGCTGCTGCCACTGCCCTCCCTGTCACCCTCTACACAGCTCAGCACGGTTGTTTTGTTTTTCATCTTACTTATCCCTGCGATTTGTTTGCTTGCTCAGGGTTCACTCTGTGGTCCAGGCTGGCCTGGAGCTCACTGTGTAGCTAGAGTTACCTTTGAACTCTTTGATCCTCCTGCCTCAGCCTCCCTCGTGCTAGGATTATAAGCTTGTGTCACCATGCTTGGATCTCCAGTATTTCATTTTGAAAACACACACACACACACACACACACACACACACACACACGTCTATTTTTACACTTACCTTTTCATAGTGCATGTTCCCTTACTTAGCAATATATCTGCATAAAGAACCAGGCACAGGATACGCAGACACTGAGTTGGGGCATTGCTCAGTGGGAGAGCACCTGCTGATTCTCTGTCTGGCCCTAGGTCTGAGGGAGAGCATCACAAAAGCGAATGAATGAACGAATGAACAAATGAATGAAAACGGCAAACCCAGCAAAATGCTAAGTAACTATGAGTTGAATGGAACCACATGATGTTATCTGTCTGACACCAAATTGCTACTAGTGGAAAGATGACCAATTAGAGCCAATCTTGTCTGAGGGTGACATGCCTCAGGAGGCTGCCATGTGCTGGGGATGACTCAGTCCTCCCCCTCTCTTCTCTGTCTGAATTTCTGCGGCACTTCCATTTGCACAGCGGCCTGTTACATCATTTGGACCTCACTTGGCTTCAACGCATCATTTCCACGTTAAATCCACCTCTGTTCTCTGCTTGTTTGGCAGCAGCAATTAAAAAGGATTGTTCCAGCAGGGCGTGGTGCACACACCCGTAATTCCAGCGCTCAGGAGGCAGAGGCAGGTGGATCTCTGGGAGTTTAAGGTCAGCCTGGTCTACAAAGAGAGTCCAGAACAACCAAGGCTATACAGAGAAACCCCCAGAACCTCAATGAATCACCTTTCTCCCGGCAACCAAAAGACAAAAACCCCTGCTCTGTCTTAGGGGCACTGAATAGCTTTCTCAAGGTCACCTGTTCAGAAAATGCTGTCACAATTTCAAGAAGAAATCTGACTCTGGGGACCACTAGGGCTGGTGGGTGGCAGGAGACCCAACCATGGTCTTTGACATCAGTTCCTGGCAATGGGAGCTCACTCTGGCCAGACCAGGAGTATCTGGGACCTGAGGCAGAGGGTGGAAGGAAAGCAAGCAAGATGGTCATGTCCCTGGTGGAACCTGGACACCCAAGATCCTTTTTCCAAGTAGTCCTGGATCTAAGCATGTCATGGCTGGCCAGGTGACAGGGACTCCTCTCACCCAAATCAAAGTTAGCAAACGCACACGCCACAAATGCCATTTAGACTATAACAAGGCCCAAGATTGTAACAGTGACTCTGTGTCGGTGCTGGCAGAGGACTGACGGTTCTGTGTGATCTCGCAGAGCCCTTGGCAGGCCAGGCAGAGCTCGGACTGGCAGTGCTGAAGACGGGAGTGTGTGGGGCCGGATGTATGTAGTTTAGTGGCAGAGCACTTGCCCAGTCCTCAGCAACCTCCCCACACACACGCACATCACACCCAACCCCCCAACATACACATCACCCCCTCACACACACACCATCATACCCCCCACATGCACAGAGCCACACAGAAAGGTACACTCATGCCCACTGTTCCCCAGCAGCGCCCACCCTGTCCCCTCCTGCCTCCCTTCCTTCCCCGTCTCCTCTGTCCCCACTGCCCTTTGCTCATCCCCTGTTCTGGGTCTGTTGGCACCTGAAGCTGGAACTCCAGGTCCCAAAGAAACACAGGGTAGCCAAGCAGGCCTGGGGTTGGGGTGTCCAGCCAAACTTAGATCCCAAGTCACAGCCAGTGTCACAGGATTTCCTGGCAATAAGTAGATCCTTGGGTCCAGTCTCAAGATGCAGGATGACCTGGTGGCAGCTTACCACAGGCCGGAGCAGCAGCACGGGGTGAGCAGTTGTCTCTGGGGTTCACCCAGACACACCCGGCTGAGACCCAGCCCCTTGTGCTGCCTCTCTAGGCAAGAGGTCCAGAAAAGGACCACAGAGCTTGATGGTCCATCAGCGCAGGGCAGTGTGGTCCTCCCGGTTTTAGGCCCAGGTCTGAGGGCGCCAACCGGCTTCCGCTGTCTAACAAGGCCTGTGCTCCTCGGAGAACCTTGCCTTCGTTCTTCGTTCTTCTTTTACCAACACAGCTGGCTATAGAAGCCAAACACAACAAGGCTCAAGTAAGTGGCTTCATCTTGCAGGACAGCCCTCTCTTGGCTTGACGTGAAACAGGTATGTATATTGGGGTTTGGTCTCTATTAGAATCTAAACTTTTCTTATTTAAAACATTTACTTTCCCACATTACAAAAAAGAAAAAAAAAAAGGATCTTTTGTAAAGATACCACTGCTCATGTGGGCTATACTGGTGACTGTCTAACCATCTTTCCACCACAGGGCCTTTGCACCAGCCCTACCTTGGCCTGTGTGAAAGAAAGAAAGCGGTGGTAGTTTACTACAGGAGCTGGCTGCCATCTTCCTGAGCAGCGACCCACGGTGGGTAGTTGCCGCTTTCCTGAGCCCAGGGTGGTTCCCTCTTTCTGGAGACACTCAAGTAGAAAAGGATTATGGAAAGCTGTGTCGGAGAGAGGTAGGATTAGGACCGTTGAGTTTTCCCTGCTCAGGAAACTTGTAGAAGTTTGCAGAACATCTCCCCTCTTTCCCAAAGTACTCTCTGGAAATTTGAGACCATGGATTGATCTTCTACCAGTAGGCTTTCCCTCGGTCCTCTGCCCTGGGTGGAGAGCCCTACGACCCAGAAGGCTTGGGAAACAGGGTGGAGTGGAGCCGCCTATCAGAGCCAAACAAGACTGTCTCACGAGGAAACAGCAGAGGCCTGCTCAGGGCTTAGCAAACAGAGACAGGGGTGGGGTGCGGCCAGCCTTCATGCGCACCAACCTGGGTCTATTTGAGGAATGGCTGCCGGTTCTCACGGACACAGTGAACCTCAAATGGGACCCCCTTTACCTGCTACACATCCTAAAATTCCGCTATTAGAGACAGTTAGGGTTTTGAAATTTTGTTTAAGAAATGCTTTTTCTGTGCAACTTTTTTTTTTTTTTTTTTTTAAGTCACTGCATGGTCCAGGCTGGTCTCAAAGTTGCCAAGCAGCATCTTGTGCTAGGATTACAGGTGAGCTACCACACCTAGCTAGGGTTCTTCGTGGAGTGTGTGTGTGTGTCTGTCTGTCTGTGTGTCCATAGATGCACCATAGGTGTGGGTGGAGGCAAGAGGCTAACCTGAGGTATCATTGCTTGTTCTATGAAGACAAGGTCTCTCACTAGAAGCTGAAGCTCTCGCTCAGGCAAAGCTGGCCTCCAGCCCCAGGGATCTGCTAGCTGCTGACTCCTGACTTCTGGGATTACAGACATGTCACACCATCGTTACTTCCTGGTGCTGGATTCTGCTCAGACCTTGCAAGCACTTTAAGGACCGGGCCATCTCCCCAGTCCTGGTTTTCTGCTTTTAACATGTACTCATGGAGCCGGTGGCGGTGGCACACACCTTTAATCCCAGCACTCGGGAGGCAGAAGCAGGCAGATTTCTCTGAGTTTGGGGCCAGCCTGATCTACAGAGTGAGTTCTAGAACAGCCAGGGCTACACGAAGGACCCCCATCTCTGAAACAAACAAACAAACATGTACTTATGGGGCTGATGGTGGCTTGGGAATAAAGCGATTGTCTAGCAGAAAAAAGTTTCAAGTCCAGTCCTCGGAACCACCAAACAAACAGGAAAACCAAAACCAGAATATGCCCCGGGAGGGCCGTGTGTTCTGCCATAGCAACCACATAAACCAGGTCTGAATTTGCATGTCATCCCTGACATGGGTGAAGACAGAGGTGATGGGAAGCACGATGCTGCTAGGAAAAGAGGACCTCCGAGTGCTGTTCTATATGACTTGAGTCCTCAAAACTGAGGCCTCAAGACAGTGATTGTGACTTCACGGATGGATAACCCTCAGTGTGGGCCCTAGCCCTTATCTGGGGCAGGAAGTGGCTATGGGTAGCCTGACCCAACTTGAAATCCCCACAGTGTAACTTTTTTCCCCAGGACTTGTCTTCACAGAAATAGGTTACTGGGGCATCTTACCTGTGAGGAGCCTTAGGGGAACTTCCTGAGGGTTCACTGAAACAGGCCACGAGAGCATCTTTGTTAAGCAAATTCACAGCACACAGCCATCACTTCTTCATCCTAGCCTGCGACAGGCATTCTTAACCCATGAGGAGGGACGCCCCCTTTGTCCACAGTGTTCCAGACAGCCGCTGCTGCTCTACCAGGGTTTCCCCATATGCTCTCGATGTGGGGGTGCATGCCTATAATCCCAGTGCTTAAGAGGTTGAGGGAGGAGGGTTGCTGTGAATGCAAGGTCTTCCTGCGTTACGGAAGGAAGCCAGGCCAGCCTGGGATACATAGCAAGACCCTGTTGGTTTTGTAGGCTGGGAGCTGGGGCCCAGACCAGAGGTCTTGTGTATGGATGATGGGGCCAAGAAAAAGTGCCCATGAGTCACGTGGCCGGCAGAAGGTGCCATGCCAGCCCTACATGTCAACAAGCAGAGTGTGAAGCCCCGGGGTGCTTGAGTGACCTTATAAAATTTGGACTTTCTGAGTTCCATGAGTCAGCTGGGCAGCACTGGACAGATGTTGGGAGGCCCAGTGCCCAGATGGGCAGCTGACTCCTCATGTCCATTTGAACCTCTAGCCTCAGGGTCTATCGCCTAGGCCAAGTCCCCAGTACCAAGGGTGGTGTCTTGGCTGAGTGTGTGACACGAGTGACACACGTGTGTCCTGTCTCTTGGATTGACCATGCAGGCACAGAAGGCAGAGCCTATACAGCGGAACAGCTTGCCTGAGGGTGGCCCCACTCTGGATGGCTCGGCTCTCCCCCAGGTTCCCGATCCATTGCTGAGGAAGCTGACCCAGAAAGAACTTTGTGAAGCCTCAGTTTCTTCATCCATTAAACGGGGATAATAATGCCTCCCCCTGCAGCAATGTCACAAGAACGGGGTGAACTAATTCTATAAAAGGTTTGGCATGATGCCTGGCACACAGCAGGTGCTCACAGTGGACGGTTGGCCAGATAACCCGCCTGGGGGACTTTTCCAGCTGCCAGAGGCCAGCCTGCGACCTGTACCTGTGGGAACGGCTACCTTACACCTGTTGAGTAGACAAAGTACACTGGCCAAACTTGGAGGGCGAGAAAATTTGTCTCGATGTGGGAAATGGCCCAGAGTATTGTTCTCAAACATTCCCCGACCAGGCTTCAAGCTCGCTGATGTGTTTATGTGATCACCAGCATGTGACGGAGGCCTCTCCCTTTCCTGTCTTTCCCGCAGAGAATTCTTAGTATCTTCTGGGACCAGGATGGGCAGAATCATACTGTTCCCAGTCAGAAACAGAAGAGGAACGTTCCTGCCCACTCTGCCTCCTCCTTGTACCCCAGGCCATTCCCTGCTCCTCAGTCCCATGTGCCCACTCATAGCTCCAGAGAAAAATGGAAGGCTCTGGGTGGGAGGAAAGAAAGCTGTTGTTAGCTGGTATGGTGGCACACACTTTAATCTCAGCACTCGGTAGGCAGAGGCAGGCAGATCTCTGTGAGTTCAAGGCCAGCCTGGTCTACAGAGTGAGTCCAGGACAGCCAGAGCTACACAGAGAAACCCTGTCCCAAAAAACAAAACAAAAAGAAAAGGAAAAAAAAGATGTTGCTATTATTTATAATGACTTAGTTATTTTTATTTTGAGACAGGGTCTCACTAAATTGTCCAGGCTGGCCATGAGCTTGTATTTCTCCCAGTCCATCCTCCAGATGGACATCTTTGAGGTTAGGCCTGTATTTCCTACCAGGCCTAGCGTATTCTGCTGTTTGTTCCTCTCACGTTTTTCTCAGTGAGTGGACCTGAGCTTCCTTTCTGCAGCGCATCGTATCCCCAGCTGCTGCTTTTCCTGCTACATCCCTTCCCCAGCATGTGTGAGGTGCGGGGTTCTATTCCCAGCACTGCAAAACAAACTGGGCTGCCTGTTGCCTGGTGAGAGGCTGGAGGCTGGGATTTTATTTTCTTCTGTCAATTTTTTTTTCCCATAACCACAATTTGCATTTTTTAAAAAAAATCAGACAAGCAGGCCAGCCTGGTCTAATGCCAACTAAGCAGCGTCACACAGTGAGACCCTGACTCACACACACATGTAAACACAGAACACTACTCATGCTTCTCTACCCATCCATCTTCCATCCCTCCAACATGAACCCAGAGCCTTGAACAGGCAAGGCTAGGGCTCTTCGTCCCCAGCCCTGATAACTCTGTCCAGCACCAGCTGACCGGAAGCCTCAGGTCTGGACTGCAGCTGTGAACCCAGCAGGCTTCCTTCACCTATCTAAGCAGCCATCAGCCTAGGGTGGGGCTGGCCTATTGCTCAGAACCTAGTCAGCTTCCTTGTTCCTCAGTCCTGGGAAATCTCTCAGCCCAGCCGCCTGAGCATCAGGCCCAGACCTCTGTCTCCTGGTATCAAAGGACACTGAGGCGTGGCCCCGGGGGCGTAGGTGGGAGGGGGACCGACTCCCTGAGGAAACGGGCCAGGTGGAAGGATAGTGACCGGCAAGGGTGACGTTTTCCTCACATCCTTTCATCTGCCCCACTGCGTCACGCCTGAATGAGGGTCCTTTGGAGGAGGGGCCGGACTCCAGGCAGTCCCCTGAGGAGCAGCAGGAAGGTGTGGAGAGGGGATAGGTTGAGAAGAAAACACAGCAGAGATGCCCCATGTCCCCACCAGCGTGGACCCCTCCCTGTGGCCTCTCAGACCTTGTCTACCGCTCATGGCCACAGATGCGCTGCTGTCAGGGACTCTCCCGCTTCACACTGTTCTGAAGTCGCTTCAGGCAGGCAGATCTGTGGATACTGAGTGCCAGTGACTGACCTGAGGCCAGCAGCTTCCCTCACCTGGGGAGAGGCTCCTAACATTTGGGCTGGGGCAGTCCTTCGGGTGAGGCTGCTCCTGTCTCTAGCAGATAAAGACACCAACTCCAGTCTGATACATGGGGCGGGGGAGGAGAGAGGATGTCTATAATGGGAGCACTTGGGAGCTGGTGCTGATGGATCAGGAGTTCAAGCTCCAGGCCAGCCAGAGCTACAGAGCACGGCTTTCGGACATCAACAACAGTCCCTGTCCTGGTGAGGGTGGGGCCAGGACTCACGTCCAGACCTTCCAATCCAGTGTCCACTACCTAAGAATGGCCACACAAGTGTTTCCTGTCCCAGGCACTATTCCCTCTCTCCTGTCGTGAGGGGGAGCCCCATTGTCGTGGGGCAATGGAGCTGGCCCAGTGGCTGCTTGCTGGATGAAATATAGTGGAAGTGGTGCTGTTTGGCCTCCAAAGTCAAGAGCTACCTTTGCCTCCATGCTTGCTCTCTGAACCCCTTCGGCTTCGGTGAGGAAGCC